GATGTGTGTAAGCTTTGTACTTCAAATAAAAGTCCCACATACTACCAACTAAGCAGTCCATAAAGGGGCTCACTCAGGGGATTGAGTTTTGTTGAACCTGACACAGCAAAGTGTTTCAACACTGTTACTTTGTGTCAAAACCACAGGATTGGTAGCTTGGGACTCATTAAAGCAGCCATTGGCACACAAAAGGAGTCACTTTTGTCATAATCAACTTTAGCAGAACCTGATACAATTATCATACTCCAAGTCATGGAAATAAAAGATCACATAAACTCAAAGTCTTGTTCGCCAAATTAACAGTTTAAAAGAAGGAAGAAATGAAATGCTGATGTGGAATTCTGTACACACATTTAGTTCCTAAACTGCCACAATTGCAGTGCTCGCAAAGCGTCCCACACTCCCACCTCATGGTGCTTTGTGTTCTTCCAATTCTCTCAAGATTTGACTGACAGTTTTGTAATGACAGTATTCACTGCAGCAATAACATAGGACCACTCAGCCAATTGTTTTTGGGTAAAGTTCCAAAAAAATCTGTTTCGCCACCTGATGTTGCCACACACATCTTATTGGATGTCTGCTCATTTTCTGCCAATCTCCAGAAGAATAATATAAATTCACTGATGCAGCTAAATGCTTTGGAATGAGATATTTACTCTTAAGCCAAAATCCAGGTATGGTGTAACAAACGGACTGGAACACACATGAACACATACAGTACATCAGGTGATGCATCACCTCTACCTGAGTCAAATGGTAGTTTGTTTTCTATATGTTTTTACCAGTGCACAACTGAGGCTCCATCCAGGTTTTACAAGAAATGAAAAGTGTCTTTTGGCATTTTTTTTACATTTTATTTTTTGTTTGATCTTTTAAAATGACAACAAATGGTCCTATTTTCATTTGCAAGAAAGAAACAAAACAAAGTCTTAGCATTTTGTTTAGTGCTATGAAATGTTTAGTTTCTGATCTGCTTCGATTAGAGTCCATTATGCCTATGGAGTGTTTCAAACCAATCATGCAGCAATCGTCAGTCGCGTCCTAGAAGCGGCATGCCGCAGCACTAAGGTTGGGTTCAGGTTCTATGTTTGCCACAAGCCGCTCCTCGGACATGTCAATTTCTGCACTTAACTTAGGGCTAGACAGGAAATCACACACAGTTTCAGTGTAAAATCTGCTATAATTTTCTAAATAAAATACTGCAGCGATGATATTTCATATATTTGAAGCTTACGTGTGACCTAACGGCTTACTTACTCACGGCATTGTTCCAGAAGTGCTGCGGTGTGTTTTCCTGGCTTTAATCCTGGCAGTGGAGAGGAACTACTTCATATGTGACATCAAACAGCGATATCAAATGTGATTTCCTTACTTTTTTTTTTCATAGTTTTTTTTAATAAATGCCCTGTGGTTGGCCAACTACAGTACTGGCCGGGTCTGCAGAGGCTCCAATGGAGAACGATCAGACTAACATGCAAAGCTAAACTATATGGCTTTGGCAAATCACGATCTACAGGCTTCTAGTTTAGTCCTATTTGTGTTTGTTATTTTGATGGTGAATCATCACAAGTAAACAGGTATGTCATAGTTTACAATTTTATGACATAATATTATCAGTAGGCTGAATAGTTTATCAGGAACAAAACCATTTCCTACATGAATTCTTCTAAAAAATACTAATAATAATATTAAGCCAGTGCTAATGTTAGGTCCACATGCACTTATCTGTCACAGTGAGTTGCAGAAAAGTATGTTTTGACATCAAGTAATGGATAATTAGTTTATTAAACAAACTATTAACACCCTGAGCCACCTAACAGATTAGTCTACATTCTAGCCCTGCTGGCATGAAAAGGAAATTAATTCACTGTAGGAGTGAGTACCCAAGAGCTGCAGCTGTTGTTTGTGTAATTACAGAAAACATATCATTACCAAGTAAGACTACACCAGTGTTGGGAGTAGCGTGGTACAAAAGTAATTAATTACTGTAATGCATTGCTTTTTGCTGTAATGTGGTAATGTAAGGCATTACAGGGAAAGAAAATGGTAATATTTACTCGGTACAATTGTCAGTAACGCAGTAATTACAATGCATTTTTAAACACAGAATCAAGATGGGGGTTTCCTAAAAATTCTAATTGCGGGAAGCCTGAGAAAAGATCCAGTATTCCATGATCCAGCATTCTATGAACAGAGAGGACGCAGCGGTAATGGCCCAAATAATCCAGCTGCGTCCTTCGCGCGGCCACTGTTATATTCACAAAATCGCTCTACCAAAACAAAGTAATTCAGTTGCGATCGTTTATCAGCCCATATTCTCTGGTACTTCATGTACTTTTCAGCTGAGTTCATAATCTGTGCCCCAGTGATTTCAACTCATTGCTGCTGGAGCGCAGCACATATTAAGTTTATTTTGTTTTTTGTTTTTTTGGTTTTTTTGCCTTTGGTAGATCCCTTTGGCTGATTATTTAGAAAGTAGGGAATCTAGTTTACAGTTTTTCTGGAAGATGGAGAAAACATTCAGCATACAGGAAGGTTAGAGAGAAAGGGCAGGAAATTATTCAAATAAAATCAAGAAAACAAATCAAAGTGCTTGAAAAGAAAAAAGTAGGTAGATTTATTTCCAATACACATTTTTATCAGTGAAAAGCAATAATATATAAGCATTTCATATTTATACATGTGATAGAATCAGATCACTCCAGAAGTCAGTCCCACATCCAGGGCTGTATGAAGGCATTTAGGGACCAAGGCAAATATAGGCTTGGAGCCCCCACCACCTCACTCCCTGCTCAGTTAATATAAGATGGTAGCATGCTGAGAGTACAGGTTCTTGTTGCTTTTATTTAATAAACAATCATTTTAAAGCACTTTTATTATATCTGACTGTTTTTAACAGCAATCCTAGCTCAGACACTACATCACTTTCCACATATATGTCATGAGCTCACTGAGCGTCAGATTACCATATTCATATTGAAGTTGTTTTGGTGAAAGTAACTTAAAGTAATGCAAAAGTAGTGTAATGCCTTACATTTTAAAATCTGTAATATTGTAATGTAATGAATTACTTTAAAAAGATGGTAACAAGTGATAAATAATGCTTTACAGTTTTGAAGTAACTTGCCCAACACTGGACTACACATACATATCTATATTGGCTTCTTTATCAGGACAAAAATAAACAGAAATGTTGTCTCCTTGCTGACAGGCTAATGTATGGAAGAGTCCTTTAACTTGAAAAGATTAGCTTATAACAAGCTGCTGTTTCATTCACTGACATTAGTGTTTGTCTTACAAACATAAATGAATTTTCTTAAGTATGACCACTAATTTGATTTTACCCATGGCTGTATTAGATCAGTGGAAGCATTCCACCCATGTGGTTGATTTGTGGATGCATTAGGGCCACTCAGTAAACTAACGTATAGAAGACAAATTACAAGGTCAATGACAGAAATTAGTGCAAATGCCATGATTAAGTGCTTAGCAATAAATTAGAACTTAAATCAAGCAGTCACAGCAATAGATCCACACATTACACATTTTAGGCTCCCTCTCTTCCACCAGAACAGCTCTCACCTGTCAGGTCAGGAATCTGGTACCTCTGAGAGTGTCCAGTAATCTCTGTAATTGGGCCGTTGGCCTCAGATCCTTTCCATAACCTCTCTTGCATGGTGGGGGCTTTCCGGGTCACATTTGTTGTCCTGCTTTGCAGCTCTATGCTGTGAGACTGGGATTTGGGGAGTTTGGAGGCTGTTTTGTTCTGAGCCATTCTAAAGCAATTTTTGGCGGGTCCAGCATCGATAATCTATTTTATACAGAGTTGTTTATTTGTTTTAAGGGCATAAGCCAAATGTGAGGTTATAGTTCACAATAAGACGACCAACACAGTTTTAAATTCCATGATTGTATTGTGTGGGTTTGGTTAGAAGCAGTTTAGTTTAGCACATCACTGTTCTGAATGATTTAGTCACGTATACATGCTACCTGTAGTCACACCTGGGTCAAATCTGTTTGGTCTCTTCGACCAAAAAGGGTCAGATGCAGATTGGGACCCCTTCACACTGAACTTAAACCCTTTTGTGCTTTCTATGACATTCGCAGTCTATAAGAATGTGGTTGGATTGTTGCACATTTAGAAAATCTCCTCAAATGTGAGGGCAATCATGACTGCACTACACTTGTTATACTCATCAAATGTCCCCCACCCCCCCACCACCTGCTATTTTGTTCAATCCCCATGAGCTTTCCTGCATACTCACTATAATTCAAATGTCAACAACCTTTTCTAATGATCAAGTATGCTTAAGATCCAATCCTTTCACAACTTCTTTAAAATGTATGAGGATGCAGCTACATGAGATCCTACAGCCTTCATGTGGATAATGTAGTTGGGTTGTACCCGAGGCCAGAGGGTCACTAAGCCATTAGCCATGCTAGTGTGCCGTTCTCTCAGAAATGATCCACCCAGAAAATCCTTACACTGCCAGTATGATAGACCACCACTCCACCTTTCCTCAGTATGTATGCTCACACCCCTTTTTAAGTCATCATGCCATATCATATGTAACGGGGAGGCCACAACGTTCATAATACATACCTGAAGACCCTACAAAACCCATGTTCTGGCTGATTTTTACAATGTGGGAGGGTCTTAATCCTGTGTTAAGGGGCATTTAACAAGAGAGTTTTATTCAACTGATTTCGTCCGACTATTGTCTGAACAGGTTCTTAATGTTTTTAACAGTACTACAATCAATGGTTTTAAAGGTGTGGTTCACTCATTTAATCAATACTTTTGAAGTGGTTTCTAGTAGAAATGAATGCCTTGTAAAAGAAGAAAAAGAAGAAGAAGAAAATATCATTTCTATAGCTCCTCTCAAGATAAAAATCACGAGTCGCTTCACAAAAACAAAAAATGTAAAAATATAAAAAATTATTTATAAAATGGTAAAAATTATTTTTAAAATGAGCAAAAAAAAAAAGACAATTGTGCTACAAAAATTTAAAGAAAGAGAGAGAGTGAAAAGGAAAGAGGGAGATCAGTGGATCCTGAGGAAGGTGGAATAGGTGGGGAGAGCAGAATAAAGAGAGAGAGTGGTGAAGAAGGTCATACAAAAGCCAGCTTGAACAAGTGAGTCTTCAGCTTCTTTTTAAAGGAGACCACTGAGTCCACTGATCTCAGGCTCAGGGGGAGAGAGTTCCAGAGTCTGGGGGCCACAGCAGCAAATGATCTGTCACCTTTGGTCTTTAGCCTGCTGCTGCACAACCAGTAGGCTTTGATCACTGGACCTCAGGTGTTGCAAGTCCGAGCAATCGGTCAAGGCTTAGAAACAGTGGTCAGAGACAAGGGTCACACAAGGGTCAAGAGGACAGTAGTTCAGGACTTGCTGGTGAGGACAGAACTAGGCAAAGGGTCAAAAGACAAGCTGTCTTCTCTGGATCCACCCATGGACACACCCCTGGGCCCGCCCCTAACTCCACCTCTGGCGGGAAAAGAAGGAATGGCATGGAGTGAGGAGAAGTCCAGCTGGACCCAGGAGCTCTCAGGAATGCTGGAGGAAGATCTACAATTTGCTACCAACATGAAGATTTATGACCTGTGCTCTCATTCCAGGAGTGCAGAATGTAACTTTTGTGCCCTCATGTGAATACTGCATGTATTGAAAATGATACCAAATGTCTTATGTAGAGCTAAAAAAGTGTATCTGGTAAATGACCCCTTGACCTAAACTGTCAGGAGAGAATGACTTGTGACTCTTACATTGTTTAGAGCAGTCTCAGAAATGATATAAAAGGATGCAGCTCAGATCAGATTGAGAGAGCTGGGGCAGACGACAAGAAGAGACAGAGCAGATTTGGAGGGGTCATCCCCCGTCCTGCTGGATGGGGGATGACAGGCAGTTTTTTGGAAAGAAGCAGAGCTAGGCTTCGTTCTTGGGGTGATTCTGAGAAGACAAGAGCTGGTGTAAACTGACTCTTATTTAATCATTTTGAACTAATTCCTCCGTGGGGGATAGCAGTTGTTTTTTCATCTACCCATTTTTGTACTTTGATTTTGTAATAAACCTTTTTTGAAAAAGAAACATAATCCTGATTCTTTCAGGTTTTCTCTAAAGCTTCACGTTTGGGGCCCTGGCCATAATTGCACAGAGGTAAGCATGTCGAAGATCGGTCTCTGAATTATCAGGACTTACTTTACAGTTTATAACAGAATAATATAAAGAAACCTTAAGATAAGGGAAGTTTTAACTTCCCCCTCCTTGCGAGTAACGAGTTGTCTTAAGGGCGATAAAAGCAAAATATTCGAGGTTATTTTGGCTCTGATTGCAGGTTGAAAAAGTCTCTAATCAGCTGGAAGGTTGGATTAATAAATAAATTGATAAACTTATGATAGCCTGATCAACTAGCATAAATCATTTTATAGTTACCAACCTCCCACATAAGCTGTTAGAGGCGCAATTAACTCCGGGTAATCCAAACAATTGCTGAGAGGCTTGGCTTGCCTCCAGACTTCTCTTTAGTATCTTAACCAAAAGGTAACGAGTTTAAAAGAAGTGTAGTACTCTGGGGCTGGCTATTCGTGCAAGTCATTTCACCTTTAAAATAAAAGACAAGATTCTAATTAGGTAGTCCAAACCCGGATCTGGTACGATTATACTCGTCGATACACCCCCGAACCCTGATGGATGCACCGTCTCATAAGTTCTAACGGAACTGGGTTTTAAAGGAACCGGTAAATGGGACGGGCACACGACACAGGGACCTGCTGGGGGTGTAGGGACTAAGAAGATCACCAATGTAAGATGGTGCTTGTCCATGTAAGGCCCTATAGACCAGAACCAGGATCTTGAAATGAACCCTGAAGTTGACTAGCAGCCAGTGACGCTAGAGGAGAAGCGGGGTGATGTGGGTGTGTTTGGAGGACTTGGTCAGAAGCCGAGCACGGCATTCTGAACCACCTGCAGATGGTTCAGGGAGGTTCTGCTCAGACACGTGAAAAGAGAGTTACAGTAGTCTAAGCATGAGGAGATGAAGGTGTGGAGAACTGTCTCAAGTTCAGAGCGGGACAGAATGGGACTCAGCTTAGCAATGTTCTTGAGATGGAAGAAGGAAGAGCAAACAAGAGAACTGACATGAGAATCCAGGGTGAGAGTTGGGTCAAAGGTCACGCCAAGATTCATGATGGAAGGTTTGGTGTGAGAAGCAAGCTGACCGAGAGTCTCTGACTTTGGGAACCAGCTTGTCTGGGGCACAGATGAGGATCTCAGTCTTGTCTTTTCCTCCGACGTTTTATCGTACCGGATAAATATCACTGGAGGTGCCCTGGTTGGAATTGTCATTTGGCTCCGGGCCAGGGCACCACTCAGATAAACAAACAGGGAGGTACGTCCCCGGTGCATCATGAGCGATTGTGAACGAACGGAAGGACAAAAGAGTCTGGCGATCATAGGAGATAGTAGCAGGGACACTACTGAAGAGGATCGCAGACAGGAGCAAGGCGGAAAAGAGGAGGTTAGTGGAGAAAAGTTTTAAAAAGTGGCCGGTGACCGTGGCTAAGCCAAGCACAGGCGCCATCTAGTTACTGACCGGAACCAACAAGTAAGTGTAAGTTGTACTCTGGGTACAAAAGGCCCTGGTGCACCTGTTTCACCAGGATGGCTAGATCAGAGGAGAGCTGCAGACCGCTGGATTTGGAGTCTTACCTCATATTCGGATATCTCGCCTCTGATTGGTTAACAGCAACACAGCTCTACCACTGACTCTGTTTACTTAGCAAAGTCGATGGTTGATGCTTGATTTCCACAAATAACTGAAGCCTGGGGGACTTTTGCCATGCAGTGGAGCTGCTTATGCTATCCATTAGCTTGTACTAGGCCGAGACGTTCTCTGACAGATCTCTCAGGCTTTTCAAATCCCAGAGTTTTACCATCTATCAGGAGCTAATGCTGGAGATAAGTGTAGGAGACTATTTTCATGAACAGCACACATGAAAAAATCAGAAGCTGATTATAATCAGAAATAATTATTAAAACATGTTTTTGTTCGTTTGTTTGTTTTCAGTAAACCACACCTTTAAATTAAGACAAAACACTGCCACCAAAGGACAAGTTCAGTCCAGATTAATAAAACATTTGTTTCAAAACTTAATCATGCAGAAAACTTTTTAATCCAAATACAACAGATTAATTAATGCACTGACTTTTCCACTCAGGGATAATCCCTGTACATCTGTTTGAAAAAAAAAGTACAGAATGATGGTTTAGTACCTCTAAGCCTGTGAGTCACTGCAGCAGCCATGCACCATTTCCCTAAAGAGGGGTTGTTTTATATGTTGGTAAAGATAGAAATGATGTTCAGATACATTAGCATGAGCCACTCAGATGAAAAGCCTCTAAAATATTAAAGTGGGTGTCTTCTTATATTTATTAGATATATTTTTTTATTTTATCTAGTGGCCTTAAAAGGATAAGTCCAGTTGACCAGGGCTGTACCATGGGGAGTGAGAGAAATAAACGGTTTGAAATTTAAATTATAGATGAAAGTGGGCTCTGGGCAATACATGAGAAAGTATGGGTTTATGCTTACTTGTGCACTTGAACTTGAAATTTTGAATAGATGCCTTTCCGCATGCATATTGTTGTCTATGCTCCCAACTGAGACTTTATGTTCTGCCCTTGTAACACTTGCAAAAAGAAAGAGCGTATGCATTGCAAAGCTCTAAAAACACTAAGTTAACTTAGATCAAGAGTGTATGGAATATCTAATGACCATTTACAGTCATTCATACAGGTTTCAAGGCAATCATTGCTGTAACTACAATCAGCATCTAGTCAAGATTAAGGTTAGGCTCTTTGATCCAAGAACTAGAACTGATTTTGTCTCGTGAGAGCCTGCTTTTAATGCAAATGAATTGGCATAAAATTTGCTTGATGGAGATGGGTTCTTACAAGTCAAAGCTGTCAATGCTTGCAATAAACAACTCTAAGAAAGGAGTCAGCCTGTCGGCGTTGCTGTAGAGATGATGACTTGATGTCTGGTTGCTTGCTGTGCATTCTTTGGCAGCGTATTGAATTTGTTTGTAAGCATTTCTCCCCACCCTGACTGTTGGCACAGAGTGGAAAAAATGTCCAGACATCTGCAGTTGGTGGACTCTGCTTGCCTGTTGCAGACTTGCATAAAGAGCTTGTTGATTGCATGGTGGTTTATCTCTTTATGAGCTCCTATAGCAAAAGGCTGCAGGGAAATTGCCTCTACCATGATCAAAGTACAGATATTGCTGTGGCAAGGGATGAAGAAGTAAAAACGCTGTCTGTAGTCTCAGCTCTCCCTTCTCGCCTTAATCAGTTATTGACTTTTTTCATGTTTCAAGCAGGATCAAAACTAGCAAAAATGTAAAACCTCTATTTTATCTTGTCTCTTTGCACTGAAAATGTTCCTGTAGTCTTCTATATTTTCTTTTTCATACATGGTGAACATATAATATGAGTTTTAGTCACATGTTAGGATCTGTAATGTCCTTTTACTGAGATTTATGCTAGAACTTGGAAAATTGAGCATCCAAAAGATAGTAACCAAATCATGAACCACACCATCCTCTTCTGGAGAGCTCACTGAGCATTTTGATTGTTCTAGAACTCTCTTTGCGAGCCGACATGTCTAACTGCCCCTCCCCGCTGGGCTGCCCGACCCACTTCTCAGGCTCACCAGGAATGAAGATCTACATTGACCCCTTCACCTATGAGGACCCAAACGAAGCTGTGCGAGAATTCGCCAAGGAGATCGATGTCTCCACTGTTAAGATTGAGGAGGTCATTGGTGCAGGTATGGCAGATACATATCCTTAAACATCAGCATGTGTGCACTTTATGGACATTTTATTATATAATTGTGTGTGTGTGTGTGTGTGTGTGTTGACATGTTTTTTGTGTTTCTGTGTGTTGTATGCACATCTGTGCACTATTAAATTCAGCCTGGATCTGGTTAGGGTCATAAAGCCAGCGCTTTTAGCGGCTACATCAAATGAGTAACGTGTCAAGTCAAGCCTATGTCAAGTGCGTCACAAGTATATAGGGCAGCTACCCAGGGACCCAAAGGCATTACATATAGCTCAAGTGTTTTAGCCTATTCCCTGTGCTTCCATGCTGTTGGTTCTTCTTTTACTGAACATGTTTTGACTCAAACCTTTTCTTTCTCTTTGCATACCTGAATAAGAACGTTACATTATATTCTAAATCCACAATTTTTTTTTTTTTTTTGTAAGTATGTTCTTACTCACTCGGGGCTAAAATAGCATTATCCCAGCTTGTACACTTGAGTATAATGAGCCCATTCTCTTTGAATGGATTTTTATAGCCAAGAGGGCATGCTGTGTTAGCCCATAAAGATTCTAAAATAGTGGTTATGTGACTCGGCCTGTAATAGCTCCTGAACCCTGTCCTGCACAGCAAGCTAGGTGTGAGCAAGTGGCAAAGATAGAGTAGAGGTAAGAATGTAAGGGTACTGGGTAATTAAAGATCTCTGTTCTGTTGATTTTGCTGTATGGGCTCTCTGCAGGATGGTGAAGGTGATAATTAATCAAACAAGTGCCCAAAAGTTACCTGAGAGTGCTTAGTTTACATGTCTTGATTTGAGTCAAAGAAGACCTTTAGCCATTGTTTAGGGTAGATGCATGCTTGGAGTCACATCATTAAGAACTTAACTAACTAAATGTAGGGGCGATGGTGGCACAGGAGTTAAGTGCTCGCCTCGCAATCGGAAGGTCGCAGGTTCGAGACCCGCTCAGTCTGTCGCTGTCGTTGTGTCCTTGGGCAAGACACTTAACCCACATTGCCTGCTGGTGGTGGTCGGAGGGACCGGTGGCGCCAGTGCTCGGCAGCCTCGCCTCTGTCAGTGCGCCCCAGGGCAGCTGTGGCTACATTGTAGCTCATCCCCACCAGTGTGTGAATGTGTGTGTGAATGGGTGAATGACTGGTTGTGTTGTAAAGCGCCTTGGGGGGTTCCAGGACTCTAGAAGGCGCTATATCAAATAAAGGCCATTTACCATTTAAAAGTAAGCCTACTCTAAAAAATGACATTTTGATCTTATGTGATTTTGACAGAGAAACTGTGCTTTTTCTTTTTTACCAGGGGAGTTTGGGGAAGTGTATAAGGGACGTTTGAAGCTACCTGGCAAGAGGGAGATCTACGTAGCCATCAAGACCCTGAAGGCTGGCTATGTGGAGAAGCAGAGGCGTGACTTCCTGTCTGAGGCATCAATCATGGGCCAGTTTGACCATCCAAACATAATTCGTCTGGAGGGTGTAGTCACAAAGAGTCGTCCAGTCATGATTGTCACAGAATTTATGGAGAATGGTGCCCTTGACTCTTTCCTTAGAGTGAGTATCGTCTATGGAAGTAAACTGGGTTGAATTATTTGTTGTGTTTAGTGGTGGTCGGAGGGTCCGGTGGCATTTCAGCTGTTTCTGCAATGTAGCTCATCACATCATCGTGTGTGTGAATGGATGAATGATTCACTGTAATGCAAAGTGCTTTGGAGTCCTCTGACTATAAGTGCAAATCATTCATCATTTATCATAAAACAAAAAAAAAGTCTAGAATATGAAAGTAATTTGTGTCACTTACTGAAAACTAGAGTGTATATCTAAATTTTCTAATAAAGTTTGAAATGAGCTTTTTCAACTTATCCTCCTCCAACTGGGAGGATAATCAGGGACTGTGAACCTAATTTCAATCACTCGTAGTTTGAAAATTACCATGTTAGCCAGATTTATTAGCCTTTAATACCCCTCAGAGCTATTAATAGACTCTTCACTCTTTCTTTTATAGTCAGGATTGAGCAGACATACAGCATAATCAATATTCAGCTCGCTTTTTTTCTTTTTTCCTCCCTCAATATCATGGATTGGCGCATTATTCCACTTTGATCTACGGTGGGTTTAAATGTGCTCTTTGAAGTTGGCTTTGCTAACCGCCAAATCCGACTCGTGTTTTTATCGATCTCTCTTACCCTCTTATTTGTTACTTTGTTTCAAGGGTTCAAAGCTTGCTCTTGAGAGCATTTACACAAGGATGGGGGCATCGTGTGTGGATGCTGGAGTAATGGAGGAATGCACGCAGGAACATTACAGTGCTGAAACACTTTAAAGCATGAACACTGGCTCTATGAATCCGCTTTGTTGTCCTGCATAATTTTATCACCAGGACATGAAGGGGATTAGGGTTAGGGTTAGCAAGACGAGAACTCAATACGTTAATTCTTTGATTTAAGCAAAAGCAAAATGAAGCATGGAAAAAATGTATCTATGTAGTGCATAACTTGTAAATGAAAAAAATGTTTGTGTGCAATCCTCTTGTCAACAGTGTTCATACACCCGTTGGTTATGGTAATAACAAAGTACTTTTCATTTTTGGAGCAACAAATATAATCCAACAGAGAAGCTTTGATCACGTAGCCTGGCAAAACATAGGTGTCTGGCCACAACCCAAAGACAGTTTTCAGCACGTGGCGTGGACAATGTGACATAATCACCACCACAGATGTCAGTCAACGGGGCAGTCCTCCATACACTGTCGAAGAAGACACAAATACATCCTTTTTTCTAAATAAAGGACCTAAATACCTCTATCTACATCTTCATTTTGCTCAGTCGCAGTAACATCCCACCCCAAAAAATGATAAAGCGCTGTGCTTGGCAAGAGACAAGACTCATTTTTTTTAGTTCTTCACTAAGACACAGAGTAAGTTTTGTACCTTTTTTCTGACGTGTTTCACCTCTCACTGGCGTCTTCGTCATCACACATCAACGTCGGTGAAAGCTTTGACGAAGGTGCCAGTGAGAGCCAAAGCATGTCAAAAAAGGTAAAAAAACAAGCTTTATTTACTCTGTGTTAGTGAAGAACTAAAACCATGTAGAATCAGAATAAGAACACCGAATTAACATAACAAAGCAGACACAAGATTGTTCGGGCCTGCGGCTCTAATAGAGCGTGGCTAAACTATGGCTGGGCGATATGGCCTAAAATCAATATTACGGTTTATTGAGGATTTCACCTCAATAATGATAAATGGATGATAACGCCTAAACAAAAGTTGTTCAATAGATGGGGCTGCCGCGTGTAATACGTTGAGTCACTGTCATGTGACTTGAGGTGGTACAGCTTCTTAAAAGGGCATGAACATCGACAACCTACACCCATATTTTATTTTTTCAATTATCAAATTGTGGAGGAGTTTAAGTATCTCTGGGTCTTGTTCACGAGTGAGGGTAGGAGGGATCGGGAGATCGATAGGTGGATTGGTTCGGCGTCTGCAGTAATGCGGATGTTGAGCCAATCTATCGTGGTGAAGAGGGAGCTGAGACAGAAAGCCAGGCTCTCGATTTACCGGTCGATCTACGTCCCAATCCTCACCTATGGTCATGAGCTTTGGGTAATGACCAAAAGTACGAGATCGCGGATACAAGCGGCTGAAATGAGTTTCCTCCGTAGGGTGGCCGGGCTCAGCCTTAGAGATAGGGTGAGGAGCTCGGACATTCGGGAGGGACTCGGAGTAGAACCGCTGCTCCTCCGGATCAAAATGAGTCAGTTGAGGTGGTTTGGGCATCTGGTCAGGATGCCTCCAGGACGCCTCCCTGGGGAGGTGTTTCGGGTATGTCCTGCCAGCAGGAGGCCCCCGGGTTGACCCAGGACAAGTTGGAGAGGTTACATCTCCAATCTGGTCTGAGAACGCCTTGGGGTCCTGCCTGAGGAGCTGGTGGAGAAGGCCGAGGAGAGGACGGTCTGGAACTCCCTAGATGGGATGCTGCCCCCGCGACCCGGACCCGGATAAGCGGAGGAAGACGACGATGAGACGACGACGATCATTGACATGGGAAAAACATTATAGTCGGAAATTTTGATAATGATAAATTTTCTATTTCTTGCCCAGCCCTAGGATAAGTCAACCTTCAGAGCAAAATCATTTTACTTCTGCTGCAGTCTACCTAGATTTCAAGGCTATTGATCCGTAGCAAGAAATTACATATTTGTATATTTTATAAGAAAATAAGAAACACAAGCACTACAAGAACAGGGGCTTCCTTTTCGACTTTCAAGAAACTCCTAAAGACCCTGCTCTTCAGAGATCATCGTCTAAATTAGCACCCTCCCTGCACCCATCCCCCTCTCTACTGTCCACTGCTTGTTCCGTCCTCTCCATGATTCATCATGCTGCTTCACTGCCACCTACGACTGACTGGAAATTGTTTGTTGTTGTTGTTGTTGTTGTTGTTGTTGTTGTTATAGTTGTTGTTAGCCTCAAGGGCAACATGCCGATTATAACGTGTAAGTCGCTTTGGACAAAAGCATCTGCTAAATACATAAACATAAACAATATACATTGTAATGTTGTCTCCTAGTACTGTTGTCTTCTAATAGAAAGAAAAACATGGCTGTGATAGTTTAAAATCGTGACATTTTGATGATTTGAGTAACAACAAATAAATAATAGACCAAATAATGATACTCATTAGAACTGAAACAATGTTTTCTTGATCTCCAAGCAAGAATCTTAAAGATTTTTGCTTTATTTTTGGTTCTGTCTTCCAGAAAAATGATGGTCAGTTCACAGTGATCCAACTGGTAGGAATGCTGCGTGGGATCTCAGCGGGAATGAAATATCTCTCAGAAATGAATTATGTCCATCGTGATTTGGCCGCACGAAACATTCTTGTCAACAGTAACTTGGTGTGTAAAGTGTCCGACTTCGGTCTGTCACGTTACCTACAGGAAGACACGTCTGATCCCAGCTATACGAGTTCTCTGGTGAGTACTTCAGCTTCTTTAGTTATCTGGCGGGTGCTCGAGATTTACCCAGTGACTACTCTGTTGGTTGTAATTCATAGTCCTAAGGCATTTTCACTGACACCGAGTTTCAAACACTCTCAAAACAATCATCTATCACTCTTTGAAGTTTTGACTTTGACAGTGTCTCATTCTTTTTGAAGCCCTTTGACTTTTTACAGTGCCTTTCATTTTATATGCGCTGTCGCTGTCTTTTTCCTCAAGCCCCTTCCTCTTCTTTTCTATGCTGTGGAAGTCACGGACTGGAGGTCTGTCACATCTTCATTAGTGTGGAGACGAGCCTCCTTTGGGAAGGCTCCGCTCTCATTGGCATGCCCGAAGTGCAGAGAAACCAAAGGGCATTGCAGCCCCTCAAAATGACATCTCGCACCTCTCTCCCTCCCTCTTCCTTCTCAGTCCTCATTCGTTATTACTGGGGCATCATGGGAGGCTTAGGCTCCTCATTAACTCCTCCACGCTACAGATCGGTAATTATTAGCAGCCATCATTAGTTCATCTTCTGCCTCTCCTCAATTCAAAACACACTTTTTACACCCTCACTAACACACGACCCAGGTCATTAGAACGCTAGACATGCCTCAGGTTGAATGGGTGGTTTAGAGTATCTGCCTGTATGTGTGCATGCACTTGTGTCTATGGCTTTGTCACCTCATTGACTCTGTTTAATACTTGTTGTAGACTATGTTGTTTATAGCTCGTTTCCCATCTGCACCAGTTCAAATAGCAATAATGAGAAGTTACACAGATAAAAATACAGCTCTTTTTTACATTACAAGTGCATAACAATTGCAGTGGTCTCTAGTAGGAACGAAAGACACGTGAGTTCTACTCTGAGCTCTAGTGTGCCCATTTTAGAAACTAGAAAGGAGTCGGAACAGAGTTAAGCTGAACACGACTGGATTTGGAGTCTTATAGGGAGCTTAAGTCACGTTCATCTACTTCCAAACCTTTGGTCTCCGGAAAAACAAAAAAACAATAAAAAATAAATAAATAAAGGCAAGTCAATGGAGCTATAAAAGCTATTTTCTAGTTCAGTTTGTTATTAAGTCCCATAGTTATCATCACACACTGGTGAAATTCATCTCCGCGTTTGACCCATCCCCATAGGGAGCAATGAGCTGCAGCTTTGGCTGCGTTCGGAAACCATTTTGAGGTTTAACCCTCCAATCCAACCCCTTAAAGCCGAGTCTCAAGCAGGGAGCCATTTTTTAAGTCTTTGGTACGAACCCCGATCTCCCAGTCCCAGGCTGGACCACTAGGTCACTGAGCTGGTGTTATGTGCCGTGGATTTCACATATGTTGTCCGTGAATTTTAAAGTCACATTTTGAAAGCACTTATTTTTGAATGGGGGCAAAAGTTATTTTAGGTTTTGTGTGAAAATATGTCCAGGACTACAAATGTGCATCACCACATTGATGCCATCCAACCAGACACAGAGAAAAACAGAGGAAAAATGGATGTAAGTTCAGTGAGCTTTGAATCCTTCCTTCAGGAGGAAAGAACCACCGTAAATCTTGTAATGTGGTAGGGAGCAGCTACGCTAGGGCAGCAGAGATTCTGTGGTAACGTCACATATGCCGACATCTGATTTGTAGTCATAGTAATTACAGAGTTTTACAAGCTGATAATCTCAAAGTATGTGACTGGCATGGTCAAAACACACATTACTTTTCATTTAAATTGAAGTCCAACATATGTGTGAGTCAGGGTGTAAGGCAAAGCGAATTAGATAATAGCTCTTTAAGCCCCATTCACAATTTTTCTTTTTTCATTCTTCTGGGGACCCATGAACCAACCTGAAAGGGAGAAGACTTAGGCTTCCCATAGCCTGATATTTGGACATCTCAGCACTGATTGGCAAAGAGCAACGCAACTCCACTTTGCGACGTTGATGTTTTATCTCCGCAAATAACACAAGCCTGAAAAAGTTCCGTTGTGTGGTGGAGCTGCTAATGCTAACGGTTAGCTTCTGCTAGTCGAGACGTTCTCTGCTTTTTCCTGGATGCTAAACCAACTACAGCCTTTCCTGTTGCGAGTCAAAGTGGGGGAGTCCATGAAAATTAAGTGAACGTGTTATGTAGATCTGTCAGGCTTTTCAAATCCTAGAGCTTCGGCGTCTATTTTCTATCAGAAGCTAATGCAGGAGATAAGTGTAGGAGACAATTTTTATGTTCAGCCTGCATGAAAACTCAGAGATTATCAACAGAAATGATAAATAAAAAATGGTTTTCTTAAATCTGTATACCAAATAATAATGTATTACTAAAGCTGTCAAACAAATGTAGGGACTTACAATGATGCTTTAAAACTAACCGTAGAACGAAGTAGCTCTGTTTTGATGCTACCAGAATGATTATTTTAATTTTTCTACCAAGATTTTCATATATTATGAAAATGACAGAAAGGTTTAGGTTTATAGAAAGTCTTTGAAGTGGAGAATGATGATATTTTGGAAATCAAACTAACTTTGGTTCTGGCCATTACCTCACCACTATCTCCCAAATGAGTCCAATCAGGAAGCAGTCAACAGAATTACAGTAATCATTTAAAACTTATACGTACTTCAGAATGACTAAAAGTGCCCTTTTGCTTTAATGATTGTTGGTAAATGTGTGTTTATTTTCTCTTAGTGTTGGTTGTACATTGAGCAAACTGTAATGGCCTCTGTAGCCCGTAAAAATGACAGATTTATTCGATTCTAAGGTCCAAGAAGCATAAAGTAGAAATGGATTTATAAGACCTATTCATTAGAAAAAGACTGTGTATGTGTGCATGTGTGTATGTGCGTGCGTGCGTGTGTGTGTGTGCGTGTGTGTGTGTGTGTGTGTGTGTGTGTGCGTATGTGTGTGCGCGTGTGTTTTACTGAGCTGTGCCCAGTGTTTCACCTGCTTTTATTTCTGAGTTGACAGCCTCTAGTGGCTCCACACAATCGTTCCTAACAGAGTAACCTGGAAACTGAAAGTTTACCTTGTTTCATAAAGCCACCTTGGGGTTTTTTCTCCTTGTAGATGGTTCTTTCTTTAAAATGTGAACGTACAGATCTGTCATAGATGGCACATTATATCTTATGAATAAATATGAATACAGTCTGAATATATTACACTATAAAAGGGGCACTATTTTAGGACCAGCTTCAGAGGTAGAACAGTGCATGCAAACCATTGAGATCAAAAGCACTGTGAGGCTTTGCTACCTAGATAAAACTATATTTAGATATGGGCCATTTAAGAAAAAACAATAATACAAAACTTGTTATGCATTTTTTACTGGCAATTTTTTTCAACACGATTCTAGGGATTGAATGGTGAAAAATCTGACATTTCTTTATAAAAAAAATAATAATTATTACACCTATTAATGTTCCAGTCCCCAGATATCCATATATTATTAGCTGAACAAAATAAATTGACTAAGAAGAATTGAAGTTGTTGTAGTTTTGTTGCTGAATCCTTCTGTTGACCATTAGCATCTACTCAGATGACCTAAATCATCCTGTCATCGTGCCCTTTCTCTCTGCTTTGTTTTTATCTCCTCTCTCTTTTTATTTGCAATAATATAGTTGTTAAACAATCTCCTATTTTGGAGAAAAAAGTATTTTTTGCATTAAATACAAGAAACACACAGTGCCAGCCAAATGGTAAGAGGTGGTTGCCAAGGTGTGATCGGCAGCAGTGTCATATAGAGGACATTTGACCTTACATTGGGGTGACTGAAAGCTAATTGCTCCCAGGGAACAGCTTGCTTTGTATGCTTGACCCCTGCGGCTAAACCTTGCTGAATGGGTATTATTTAGCAACAAAGAAGAACAGCACCTCTGTTGTCTGTGCTGCTGAGGAGGCTAATAAAACAGGGCTTACAGGATTGGATTATAGATCGTGGCCAGCTTTTTGATGTTGTTTAATGCAAAACTCTACAAAGTCTCCCTTGAGAACCACAAAGTCAAAACCAAGAGGGCGATTTTGATGTTAACAAACTGAAGTAATCTGATGATGCTTTATGCTGCTTAGTTTTGACACCAGGAGCCGAGCAAACACGAAACAAGCACTTGGGAAAGTGTGTGTGTGTGTGTCTCATGCCCTTCACTTCACAGAAACTTTGGCTGACCTGACGCAAGCCAATCAGTGAGCAAGGCTTGCGCTGCAGACAAGGACAATGGAAATGGGAAATTAAATTGCACTGACAGGAAGTGATTTGCATAGTCACCAACTGCCTCCTCGAGCAAATTTATCACATCTTTCCCTCCGCTGCTTTTCTAATTTTTGTCTGCAATTCTGGGCACACCAATTACAGGGCCTGTGGTGCGATGCTGGATCCGTGGTTAGGAGGACATGCTGGTAATTGTGTTAACCCTGGATGTGGGTTCACTCTGGAGTGGTGTTGTGGAGTTTAAGACAGAAGGAGGCTGTCCCCCACTCTGTTGGCTGTGCACCAAAGTCATGATTAATTAGGCCTACAAAACAATCCTTGAACTGCACTGGTATTGCTGAGGTGCTGTTTGTTAATGCATTTAAAATCTTCAGCCACTGTGTGTTTCTACTCAAACTTAGGCATTTTCATGTATTAGCTTGTGTTGCACTGCTTTTTTACTTAATTGCATGATTTTTTTAAAGTAGCCCACTGGTGCTTCTCAAATCCTTTGGAGGCAGGAGCGAACCTGCAAAGCTTACCAAAGGGATGCACCGCAAGCTTTTCTCCTTGTTTATGACTCCATTCATCAAAGGAGGTATAATTTCTTAAATTCATTATCTGATTTCATTTTCCTCTGCCTGTGTGATTTATTTATTTACTTCTTTATTCCTGAAGCAACGTAAAGACCCATTAGAATGATCCACTTAGCGTAGATGCGATACATTTTGTTGTGCTGTTTGATCTATAATGAGCACTCTGGTATATGCTCATTGTTGAGTGAACGTCAGAGGTCAAACACGCACCTGGCATAAACATGTGGCACGAATGAGCT